CTTATTACCGCTAAAGTCAGTTATGCGCTGGCTTATGCCATCCAGTTTTCATACCTCAAGTGGCCAAAAAGGATGGCCGAAGCTCGTGGCATTTGCCCTTTTCCCCTTTCCCTCGCCTTTGCCGAGCGACTTTCAGATAAAAATGCATAATTAAACAGCCGAGGAGTCGACATCGGGACGCAGCTGATGTCAACAGACCGGCATAAATTCAGCCGTACCACATCATAATGTCCGCAAATCCTGGCCTTTGCATTTTTAATAAGCACTCGAGAATGAAAAGGAGTCACCTGGCAATGCCCCTTCCCGTTTGCAGCAAAGTCTTTAAGGAATTTTAATGGGCTTGGCTGAGGACGAGGCTCTCCGCAGCTTACCCTTTAAATATTTAATCACAGAATTTAAATACAAAATTAAATCGAAATGATTGTCGCGCGGCAACTGACACCTGGGCAGCCGCCACCTACGCATCTGCGACTTGTTTTTAATCCTTTTTTGACCGTGGAATGTCCTAGCAAGTCAGCCGCCCCGCCTTCGCTGCATATGCCAGCGGTTTTTGGCCCGAAACAAATGGGCCAGGTCCACGGGCGGCAAATGAAACATGGCCTTCTGATTGATGGCTTTGACTTTTGGCCATAATTTATCATAGATACCAGCGAGAAACTGTTTGGCTCTTGTCAATGCCGTCGAGAAAAACAGCAGACACAGCAAATGCAGTGAGGAAAAGTTTCAATATGTCCAGGATCGTCGGAAAAACGTCGCGCGGCGGATATATTATATATATATATATATATATATTTTTGATTATCCAGGATATATTTTAGAGAGCTTAAGCTTAATAAAAACTAGCTGGCATTGTTCTCATTGATTTTATGCAATTAATAATTAACTAAAATAAACTTATTATAAGTGTTTTTGAGGGGAAAATAATTATTGATCTGTGAAACATGAAACTGACTGTAATGTAAAAAAAAACTTAATGTAAAATTGGAATCTGTGAAAAATTTTTTTAAGTGCAATCTATTTAGTATCGCTAGCGGCAACAGATGACGTCCATTCTGTTGAAAAATGTTCAGAAAAGTGTCATAAGAGGAAATGAGGCACGAGGCCGAAGAACTAATTGCAACAAATAATAAAAACTAATAGGCTGTCGAAAGAGGAAACTAGCGCCGACCACGCCCACTGGCCACCGTTCGCCACAGAGCCCATGAAAAATGACAACGCAAATGGGCAGCTGGAGGTGGGCGGGGCTGTGAGAAGGGGAAGAAAAATTGCAAGGATCATCATCATGAATCATCATCAGAGTCGTCACACGCAAACATTTGGAGAGAGTCGGATGGAGCGACTCCGAGGATGCGAGAAAGTTAATGTCCTGTCAAGAAGTCGCTGCGTCGTTGTGTCCTTAAACGTCACAAATTGCTAGGCGGATTGGTCTGGAGTGGAGCCAGAACCCGGGGGTTACAAGCACATTATCTTGGCCAAAAACTTTGAAATGCCAAGTTTGCCTCTACATTGCCGTGAATTTATATATCGCCTAACTTCATCCGAAGGTGAATGGAACGGCGTGTAATAAGGAGTCAGGTGTCCTCCGAATGTCGCGTTCTTTTGGGACGTTCACATAACCAAACTTTTCCTGTCAAGTCAAATTTTTATTTCCCTTAAAAGCAAAAAATATTCAAATCACAAAAACAAACAAAAGTGTTAATTTGTAATGCAGCACTTAATATTTGAATAGTTTTTGAATAATTCAATGGCTCTTTAATCAATTGATATTTCTTTAAATGATTTAAAATTCCAAGTTGTAGGCGACAAACGTCCTATATGGTATTTATTTTGTAATTTAATACATATACGGTACACCTTTAATGATTATTAAATGAACATGGTAGAGTGATTTCTTTTTTCCTATTTTGTTTTTTTGTCTTAAACCAAAAAAGTTTAAACTGATTTGCCTTGCAGCTAACGCTTCCTTTGTCATTGTTGATACTTTATGGTTGCGATACAGGCTATTGCGAATCCAGCTCAATTGGCGATACTTTGTCATGTGCGGTCAATTAGTAATGGCAACTGTAACTGTACGCAGACAAACTCGTTGGGCGGTTAGAGGAGAGGGCAATGCGGGTCACAAGCCGGCAACTGAAAAAGTCCTCATCCCCTTCCTCGTCATCTTCCTGGCTCTACTAAGCCCCAAATAATGCAAACTCTATCCAAAGTCAGTGCTTTTTTGGTGCAATCCGAGATCATTTTTATGAGCTCTACTGACGACTCCGTCTTTCAGGACCACCTACATACGGACATCCGTTCACAGCCGAAATAGAAACATGTTGGTTTTCCAGCTTTTGATTCGCAGCCGCTAACATCTCATTTCCGGCAATAAAACAAAGATCTTAGGGCGAATGATTTGGATTTGCAAATTTTATCTTTAAGTAGATTTGAAGTTAATGTTAACAATATTTTATCACTTTATAAAATGCAAATGGAACTTTACCAAATAAAATTTTAGCAAATTTGAAAATAAAATTTTTTTCTATGTTTGAAGAGACATTTTATTTGACTGTCGAACTTTGGCATTGTTGCACAAACAAATACAGACGCCTACATACTCCGACAGCTGCCACAGCTGCCGACATCTCCAAACAAGGGCCTGCCACACATGCTGATACACGGAGGCATTGAGCCTTGCAATGTAGCAGGAAAATACCAAATGCCCTCCCAATCCTCCCCAAACACCCCACATGACTGTCCTAATACGACGAGAACGGTTTAAATTACAAATTAAAATTCATAATTGTAAGGCTTTAAATAGTTTATTCTACCAACTCAGGCTAACGGCCTCACGGCTGAGTGATCCTGGATTTATGGCCTCCATCTTGCGCATGCCCTTCTTGTCCACCACGTAGACATCGAAGTTACGCTGGTTAATGATCAGTCGCTTCTGGATCTCCACCACGCACTTACGCAGGATGGAGTAGGCCTCCGCCTGGGTAAGCTTCGAGTGCCAGAACCGTTGTAGGATGCTGCCACAAAACATGCTGCCCCAACCATGACCGGCGTGGGTAATGGACTGTGCCGCCCCGAAGGAATCGATGTAGTGGAGGTCGGGGCCCTCGGCGGCATCGTACCCTGCCAGAAGCATCGCCACATGGTACCGGGTGTTGGTGCGTATGTAATCCGCCAGATTTTTGCGAGTAAAGTGCGCGGCTGCTTTAGCACTAAGGTGGTATCCGTGGGCGATTTTGTAGAGGTGCAGGGTTTTGGATATGAAGTCCGTGAACTGTATGGTATCGCCGCCATCGCCAACTGTGGCTATCATGTTGAAATCGGACAGACGGTGAATTTTTGAATGATCTGAAATATCAACATTTTAATAAGAAACCATCAAGGGCCATTTCTATGTATATATAAATATATAGTTTGTAAGCTTCGTGTCTGTAAAATTGTAAAGAATTTGGAGTCAAACAAAAAATTTTGAAACTTTTCCCCAAAAAATTTAAAAATGTTTTTAAAAAATCAGACTTTTACCTTTCTTTGAAGACAGGCATCTTTATATCTTAGAATCTGCTATTTAATTTAAAATAATTTGATAAAATTTTAAATAAAATGTAAATGTATTTAAATAAAATGTAAGATGTGGTAAAGTGTTCACAATTGGTTTAAAATAGATACCAGTACTTACCATCCTTCATAAAGATTAGGGACTTTGCTTGCATTGTGTCCGAAGCGAGCATCACAAAGTCTACTCCCTTGATTCCCAAAATGGTTTCCATTGCCATGATTAAAAAAAATTTGAATTTGACCAGGCTTCGCAGAAGATTGGGCAAGTTTTGAATTTTGTCTCGATTCCGATTTGTCGAATTTTGTTTCAATTTAAAGTGTTTTGACAGCTCATCCAAAGGTGCTATTGTCTGTTTTTTTAAGCTTTATATTCTTGGCCTGGTTTCTAATATTGAATAGCATCAGATCATCCCAGCAAATTTAAAAAAAATCAAGAGACAAGAAAGGAAAGAGGAGCGCCAAATAAATTTTGGTGTTACTCAATGAGTATCTTTTTAAAAACTGACTTTATTTCACCGAAATCTCATACAAGAAAAATACTAAAAATAAAATACTCATACTTACAAAAAAAATCTTTTTAAAACTACTTATCAACTTATCAACTGCACGCTGAAAAGTTTATGTGAACCTTTCTTGAGGACGATATGCGCATCACTTAGGCTGCAAGGGATCAGTCATAAGCTCTGGTCTTTTTCATTTCTTTCTGTGGGTCCGATCCCTTGAAACTCTATCTCTTTAATTCCTTAGAAATCGTGTTTAATGCATGAACAGAAACAATGCAGTTTATATATGGAGATATATGGCAATATGGAGTGTATGAAAACTGCCCTATTTCGTATAAAATAAATACTACCTTCAAGAATAACTAAAAGGTGAAAAACTAAAAAACTAAAGTGAAATTTCTGATCGTTCAGTTTTATGGATGTATAATACATACTGCGTCTAGTAAGCAAGGCAATCGCAGGGCACTGATTATATATGCCTCTTATTGACTATAGTTAGAGCTGCAGCGACGTAGAAGAATAAGAGACGGATGCGCACCGGCTAAGCCAAAGCCCAACTTCTTTTCTTTGAAGACGCAATACTTAGAGACCTTTCAGGTCTCACTGGGATCCGTCCGCGAGGACTGGTAGGCTTCATTTGGAAAGCCGGGTTTTAGGAAGAGAAGGATCCCAAATTAAGTCCTTGCCTAAGCTACCACTTGCGGCTCAAATAGGTGCGGGAGCCCTTGCAAGGACTTGGCCCCACCTTATGATATATGTATGTAGATAGGAAAGGAAAGAAGGACTTGTGCAAAGATTGAATTTACTGCCTTAACTTTATCAGTCCATTTAAGATGCGTAACTCGTGAAGAGAAATTTTTAACGAATAATCAATACATTTAATAATCAATTCCAATAATATCGATACGTACTAAAATTAATTTTTTGATAAGTTCTTAGTTGCATTATTTAAATATATATTTTTTGCTTCATGGTGTTGCTCATTAGAGTGAAAAAGGAATAGGCTGCCTTGCATGTGGCCTGGAAGGTGCTCAAGTGAATAGGCACCACTCCACCAGCTAAGAGGAGCGCGTTCATCTTGGTGCGCTCCGATAGGATCAACATGGTGCTGCGAAAACTGCGGCTCTGCTCCGCCCAATTGCAGCAAAAGGCTGCGTAGTGAAGCTCATGGAAACTTTGCTCCATATTGGTGCCATAGTAGCATAGCGGATACGTCTCCAGAGTGATGCCAATTAGAAACGACACGTAGTATATGCGATCATAGACGGTCTCTACAAAAAACACTAGACCGAAAACAGTGACTCCGACATTGATGGCAATGACAATGAACTGAACAAACATGGGCCAGCTGATTACATTTCGGGAGAGCTCCAATAACCTGCGAAATGGAAATAAATATCTCGTTTTTGTTTTCAAATTCATCATTATACCTATAGAGTCGCTTTTGATCGTTGATGCATTTACCGAGCTCCGCTTCATTGTCCTGCAATAATTGGCCGTGAAATCCGATCCGAGATATGCGTAAGTTCAACAGATGGGACTGCTGAGCAATAAGGTAAAGAGCCAACGGTGGAAATGAGTCACCTACATAGTTCTGAAAGACTTGTACAAAAATAACGAGCTGCTGGTACGCCACAGCCACCAGAAACGATGACCAGGAACTTTCCCAGTCCAAGGGGAACCATGACGGATACGGCAAGCAGCGCTCGTCTTTGAAGAAAAAGCTCATCTCTAAACTGACGATTACAATGCAAGATATTAATAGAAACCCCCTGGAAAGAAGGTGGAGTCGTTTTTTCATCAACAGATAACAGTTTTCTTGTTCCATGCCAGCCACGCGCTTATCCATTTCGGAGATAAGCTCCTCCATCTCCCCCAGGTGGCTAAGCCGGCGAGTGTAAAGTCCAAACTTGACAATGGTGGCTAGCGAGGTGATCGTCAGGCTAAAATTGGTAATATTTTCGAGCGGCGAGTCGTAGCTAAAAAGCGAGAGGGCCAGCATTGGGAAAGCCAGAGCTACCAAAAAATTTATAGCCATTGCCCATCCCCTGATATGGCCTTCACTCAGGTCCTTGGCTCCCAAGATTCGCCAGGCCAGTCTTTGGTCGCGGAAATGACTTTTCTCGAGTATCCCCATTTCTCTGAGCGCTTATACTTTAACTGAATCGAGTTGGCCATTGGGCTGGACTTTTATTACACCTTTCCGAGCAATTATTATAATAATTAAAACTGTAATTTAAAGCAAAATAGTATGAAGCCGAAGTCTAAATACTCTTATTTTATTATCTCGCTTAACAGTCAGATATTCCTATAGAATTGTAGTAATTGCCATACAATCCGTTTGTACAAAATCTGTTTGACGGTAGTAATTGTATAAAATTATACTATATATATTCTTTATAAATATTTTAATATATCTTCTGATTTTGGAATCTTCTGAATATACGCTTCTACCAGTAGAGAGCATACCATTTAATTGTTTAAACCCTACCCATCCCAGCAAAAAAGGGGAAACTTGCAAATTAAATCATTATTTTACAGTGCAAGGACAAATTTAATTTGGTCACAAGAAAGCAACACCTGGAAAACCAGGGGTAATTTTTAATTTTGTTTTTTTCAGTTCAGTTTTGCGTTTAGAGTTACAGCTACGAGTACAAGTCAATTTTTTTTCTAAAAAACTACGAGTACCATGTATAAAAATTCACGTTATGATAACTTCGTTATGATAACTCTTTGAGGACATGGCTTACATTTAAAAACACTCTTTGAGATACAAGTTTATATATTTTTTCCACAAAATTTAATAATAACAATCTATAAATCTTTAAGAACTACAGATGAATGTTGAATCAACATATTATTTCTATCCATCCTAAAGATTCCCAAAAATTAGGAAATTGTAATTATTTTTATGGTTTTTTAAGGGCTAGGAAGAAAATTAGTAAAAATATTCAAAAGTGATTAGAAAAAATATTTCAATAAAATTTCCGATTCTTGAGATTTTAGTCTTCGTTGCATTCAAACACAGTTCTCCAAAATACTCTCCTTAATCTCCCCATTCACCCCATTTCGCATGTCGCTTGAAGAACCTCCCATCCAATATGCTGTCGTCCATTTCCGTTTGGATTGCACCACCGTGCACTTAGTTGTGTTTCATTAAAATAATTTTCTGCATTTCCTCACTTGAACACGATTTTCATTATCCGCTGGCTGCATTTTACTATCGCGCCCCCCTTTGTCTGAAAATTTTATGTGGTGGAAATTCGCGCCATTCAGAATAATTATCACATCTATTTGTGAAATGGAAATATTTCCGCAATTAAAAACATATTTTCTAGCACCCTTCAAGTAATGAGGACCGTTTCCATTCTCCCGTCCTTTGTTGCTTCTCTTTCAGGCATTAATGCTGCACTTAAGCGGAGGAGCTGCAAACAAAGTAGCAAGCGAAAGTTAATGTTTGAGACTAAAACGTTTGCGACCACCGATACCGAGTGATGTTGAAGTTTTCGTACCTGGGTGAAACTTGGTCAAAGCCGAAAACCTTTAGCTCTTTGCAATCTTTATTTTCATAAATAAATTTCATTAACTTTGAATTTTATTACCTTTCTGGAGATTTACCAATATACGATACACCTTTAATGATTATAATCATAATCAATAATTATTGAATGCTCATGGTAGAGTGATTTCTTTTTTCAAATTTTTTTTTTGTATCAAACCAAAAAGGTTGTTTTCCTTTCTCATTTACTTTACGGTTGCGATACAGGCAATTGCGAATCCAGCTCAATTGGCGATACTTTGTCATGTGCGGTCAATTAGTAATGGCAACTGTAACTGGACGCAGACAAACTCGTTGGGCGGTTAGAGGCGAGGGCAATGCGCGTCACAAGCCGGCAACTGAAAAAGTCCTCATCCCCTTCCTCGTCATCTTCCTGGCTCTACTAAGCCCCAAATAGTGCAAACTCCATCCAAAGTCAGTGCTTTTTTGGTGCAATCCGAGATCATTTTTATGAGCTCTACCTACGACTCCGTCTTTCAGGACCACCTACATACGGACATCCGTTCACAGCCGAAATAGAAACATGTTGGTTTTCCAGCTTTTGATTCGCAGCCGCTAACATCTCATTTCCGGCAATAAAACAAAGATCTTAATGCGAATGATTTGGATTTGCAAATCTTAGCTTTAAGTCGATTTGAAGTTAACGTAACGTGTGTGCTAGTTGTTGAGGAGCATCAGGTCTGCATAATGTTCGTACGTTCCAATTGAGTACTCTAAAATCAGTGTCCTTTTTACGTTTGAAATGATCCTCAACGTTAGATCGGATCCGTTCCGAGGCTTCCTTTGATTTCTTCACAGAAGTTAGGTTTTTCATGGGTGGATTTCAAGTCCTACGCCAAAACCTTTTTTGAAGAGTAAGGACTCTCGTCGCGCACTTTAGTTTGTCACTCAACGAGTGTGTTATGTGACAATCCAGGGAGAACCACGTGGAGGTAGTGCGTCGGCTTGAAGAGAGCAGTGACAAGGATTGTGGTGATATTTAGCAAGTGGATTTCTATCAGACACTTTCTCCTGTATGCTATCTCCCATTCTCCCCTCAAGTCGGGTGTCCCGACTATTTTATACTCGCTTATATGTATATACGAGACAGAGACAGACAGACAGACAGACAGACAGACAGACAGACAGACAGACAGACAGACAGACAGACAGACAGAGCCCACCTAACAGCCCGCTAGTGGGCAGAAGTCGACAGGGAGGTGCCAAAGCATGTATTTCAGCTTATTGCATTGGTTTGAGATGTGGGCGATGCTTTCTTCATCAATGTAAACGGTGACCTCGTCGTTCTGACAATCGGGATAGACTACCTTTCTTTCAAACTCTTTTCCGCAAGGGTCGAGGGTGACCTGGGATATAACGCACCATTTACTGGTATCAAGCCCGCAATTCTGATTTTCCAGAACAGAAAAAATACGGCACAGGTCGCGCTTCACTATTAAAGGAAGTACGAACGTACATCTGACTAGGTCATAATGCCTTATAAACGTTTGAAACTTATATGGGGGGCACTGAGGTCGAGCAACCCGAATTAGCCAGTCCTGGGTCTCCGCATCTGCACACACAATCATCAGGGTACAGTCGAATTCGTCGGCCGGGGCGCACTGGCTGAAACTCAGGGTATGCGGGTTTGGCGCTGTCAAGAACTTCTCCGAAAGTGACTTCAAAATGCACCTGTAGTCACAGTCTCCCGGATTGTCTTCGTTTACAATCATGACTGCATACCTTCGATCCTCAGGAAGCACTTTGGCATAAGGAAAGCGATTGTCGCTTACGCAGCAATAAATATCACATTTGTCCCTATACTTCTTGTCCTCTTCCACCTCCAATGGGGGACAGCTGTACTTGCCACGCAGTTCGCCGACCTTGCTGCCTTTTGTCGTGTCCACACTGCTTGTGCTTGTGTTGACCGAGCTTGTCTCGATGCTGGCCTCAGTGTTGCTGGCGGAATCATCAGACGAACAACCGTCACGCAACATACTGTTACTTTTCGGATCACTGTAAAAAGAAGCCACACTGCACTGATTAGCAAAGCTGCTTGTGGGAATTTCAATATCCATATCCATGTCAAATTCCAATGACATCTCTGGTGAGCCGCAGCCAATGTCGGCGAGGTAGCTCAACCGGCAAACGCGCTTTTTTTCGTCGAACAGTTCAATGTCAGGGGAGTCGTTCCCCCTTGAGCTAATCTCCTGGCACATCTGGGCGATCTTTGATAGATGCGTGCCATTTGCTAATTTTTCATTATTAAATTCCATTTGCTGACGATGAACTGGAATTTTGGTCCGGTTCGACATAAGAATCTTTAAGTCGGCAATCGTTGCGTCCTTTCGTAATTTTATGAGAGGCACGCGGCCATCTTTACGCGCGCCATAAAATAAAATTTTAAAATACATTTCACCAAATACCTTGAATATTCGTGAAATAAAATATTTAAATAAAACAAAATGTTTCACGACGGCTTTTATCAATAAATTCTCTTTTGAATAAATTTGATGTGAACTCTTAGAACGATACAATGCGAGTGATTCGGAGTTGAATTGGAAACTGGGTTGACATATTTGACATTAGACAGAAGCTACTGCGATTCATGTAAAGTTCAGTATTCTAAAGACTGAATGAGATTTTTACTAGCAGTTTTAGTTATTGAAGTTTTAGTTTTAGTTATTATTTTATTATTTATTCAATATGTACAGAAGTCATTAGTATACTTTTGCTTTCGTAAAAAGATGGTTTCGAAAATAAATTGTTCCTTCTCCTTTATTCATATTTGTAGGAACTGACCTTCTTGTTGTACCAAATGTTTATACTAAATTTATGTAAGTACGAACTTTACACTTTAAAAAATTTAGAAGTTAGAAGTTTTTTAGAAAAAAGTTTTAAACCTTTAGCGGGAAAATTTAAATCACGTTGACAAATGCCTCTGTTTAGCTGAAGTATTTTTTTATTTATTTATTATTATTACAAATGATCTGTTATTATAGATTATTATAAGTAAAAGTAACGATAAATTAGGCTAAAAGATAACTTTAGATTTAATTACATCTAGGGATAGTTCAGGGGATAATAAATGGAAAAATGAGGTGTAACTTTTACAAATAACTCGAAATGGATCGTGTACAGCAAAATTAAATTGTTAAATTGTTCCTCTATTTCCAGATGAAAATTTTGAGTTCACCTGTCCAAGCTCTTGTAATGGAGGTAGGTTTAATAGTTTTAACAGGCAACGATACGGCGGAAGACAAGTGGCAGTATCCCAGTTTAATTTTTTTATGCAAATAACCGAAACTGCTTTTGGACAGTTTCAATCCTCTTTTGATAAACAAAGTATTGCCGACTCCAAACGCAGGAACAGTATTCCAAGATAGGACGAAGCAAAGGGACATATAGAGTCTTATTTGTGAAAGGATGATAAAATTCTTTTGACCACCGTTTGTTAAAAGCTAGCACACCCCAGACTTCGTTTGGAGTGCTTTCGTATTAAAAGTAAAATATTCTTTAGAAAATTACAATATGTTTTTCATTTTCTTGCCTAACCTAAGTATCTTTAGAGAAGTACAATATGTTTTTAATTTTCTTTATGTTTTCTGACTTTTGTTTTCACCTATTGCATGTGGTACACAAGGTCTCTGCGGGCCAGAAACACATCGATTTCAGAACCGATTTTCACATTTGGAAAGAGAATCAAATGAAATAGCTTTGCAACTAACATATAGTAAGCAACCAGTCAATATGAAAGTGAATTTTTAGTTAAATTGTCGGCAACTGTGGGGAGGTGGCCTCGGGCTGGTCAAAATGTCATTTGTTGTGACGAACCAGAGCGTAATCCGATTTGGTAGCACCAAGGAGGAGGACGACTTTGAGCGGACATTGATGTTTTTCAATATCGATATATCAACGGGGGGCGACCTGAGCTGCGACCATCGAAACGAGATTATCTCGGCAAGGACCTTCGATGGGAATAGAAAGCGTGAGTTGGTTCACAGCATTTGCGGTTGGCAAGTATCTAGGCTAACGTATTTCCATTTCCAGCACGCAATCCCGGTGGTGGAAGCAACTCTCGGATTAAGGAAAGTGCGATGTCGTTTGGCCAGCCAAACAAATTCTTTGCTCAAAGTCAAAATAGTTTAGAAGATTTTGGATGTAGTTTGAGGCAACATGGAAAACGCTTTTCGGGAGGAAAAAGGGACAGTTCCGACTTTACGGAGAGTCGCAGCCACTTTTACTACCATTCGAATAAGCCCAAAAAGATCTATCATTCGGACAAAAAAACAAGCTTCCAACAGCCTACTCGTGATTATAACACAAACATCAACCCAGAGGATGATACCAATATGGCCGGGAATGCCAGAAATATTTTTTCATCGAGAATTTATCGGGCACACACTGACACTTATAATCAATTGGCTTTGAGTCCCTCTATTTCCAATCATGGAAACTATAGAAATTGTGATTCTAGAAACGACTATTCCCCCGAATACTACTCACATATGAAGGACTTCCCACAAGCCGACTCACCTCTGGAAAGTTTATCTTCTTACCCAAACGACCCTCGCGAAATAGATTATAGAAGATACCATGGAACGCCGCTGCCCAGCAGGTCAGAAATTCTTGGAAGACGAAACAATCATAGACAAATTTCTGGATCTATGTCACCCGAATATCCACCAAATTATAACAGCTATTTAGAGAATCACGATGACTTGGAATACAATAGACCCGATTATAACGGCGCCCGATTATATATAGATGAATACTTCGATGATCGATGTGCAAAGGGCCACCGACACGAGGCATGCGATCAATACGAATATCGCCCTGATTACGATTACTGCGAAGAACGACGCTCACCACTCCCAATACCAATTCAAAAACCTAAACAATATAGAAGATATAGAAATCCCTCAACACCATGTGCTAGACTGAGAGAGGAGTCTAAGCGATCCCACAAGTTAGCCAAATATAATAAGCCTGAAATAAGCTACGATGGCCAAGATTCAGATTCCAAAAGATACGACAGTGATGAATTTCTTAATTATCAGATAGACAAGACAGTTCCCGAAAAGTATTTTCGGCACTTTAAAGATGCCGAAGTGCCATCCAGAAGACATGATAGAGTTTCAAGAGAAATTGCTCGTCTATCTTTCCCCAAAAACTACCAATATAACATGGAGCCAATGAAGAGATTTAATAGGCCAGGTATTGCCAACCGAACTACTGAAAAAATAGATTGGTCGGATAAAAATACAGCAAGGAATTCTATTTGTGACTCTTTGAAGAAATATCCGCGGGAATATTTTCGCCATCAGTCAAGGCATGCACAGTTAGAGGAAGAACCTCGATCCCGAAATCTTTTGGGGACTGAATCCGTGGTGTGTCCTAATAGACCCGTGTTTCCCAGAGAATACGACCGGCATAAGAGGCGCAAGCATCACAAATTAAGGACTGATCAAAAAAAGGTCGTTGACTTTGGACTTGGTCCTGGTTCTTACATTGGTACCGAAATACCACATAGGATTTTTGAAAAAACAAGGACGCCTTCGTCCATATTTTTTACCATCGAGATACCCTATAAAAAAAAAGAAAACGGAAACTCACCGCCTTATAAAAGTACGACTAGAAGACGGGACTCGGGTTGTGACACTATTGCTCAAGAGTCGATTTCTGCTTGCGAACTTAACACAGAACATAAAAAAACAGGTTCTGCCTTCAAACTAAATGCACCTGTGAAGTGGCATAAAAAAATGGATAAATTTGTAAAGCTCCGCCAATCCTTTTTAGACATGGAAAAGCATGGTAATCGCAAAACTATTAAGCAGAAAATCTCTAAGTTTTTTAAGAGGTCGAAAATTTCTTTGAAAAGATCGACTATTTTGAAAAATAAGGCCAAGGTCTTGAATTCCTCCTGCAAGCCTTTTCAACGTCATTTAGATTTTGCTAAGCTTAGTAATTTCGTCCTTCCCAAGCAAGAACAGATTTTGTCGGCGAGTCCAAATATCATAGAAGAAAATGCCTTTACAAGTTCAAATCGACATAGAAAAAAAAGGGTTTCTCCAAGGAATAGTAATGAGTGTTTCTTTAAAGAAAATGAAACTAGTCCGTTTAAGCACAACGAAAATGCATTCAATCAGTATTTTTGCAAAAAGGCAGGGGAATCCAAATATCCCACCCTTTACAGAGGCAACTCGAAAAAAAATACGGCCAACGAAGAAGATGATAACTACCAGGAGTACTCCATGTATAATTTTTTGAGTGCAAGGCATCGGTGCCACAGAAATAGGCCCAAAATAGATAAATATGACCAAGGACTGAGCACTTGGAGAGAAGAATACATGAGATCTAGATTAGACAAGGTGGCTTTTCCACGGGTTTCTAGTGGGAGTTGCAGTTTGTACAGTGAAGGCAAGAAAAGTGAGGATTCCCATCGTAGCCAAATTAACGTGTGCCTAACCATTCGCGCTGAAGAGATGAGTTTGTCCGGAAGTCCTAGAATTATTTCCTCTGAAGTGATTCGAGGTTCCCGCCTATCTAATGAGGATCTAAAAATCGGCGTTTCCCAATCGCCGAATGAGTCATTGGCGCGAAAAGAGAGTGGCAGCAATGCCTTTCAAAGTGTGTGGATTCCCACAAATAGTTGCTTTTTCCGATCTAACAGTTCCCAAAGTGGCTCCTCCAGGGCTACAAACGACATAACTCCCTCGCCCGAAAGAAAAACTATTGAGTCCTGTTCGAGGCCTCCTGGTCGAAAGTCCGCTCGCGGAAGGTCGTCGGACTATTCCAACAGCATTCGACCTCTTCGAGAATCTTGTCACTCTGCGCTTAATTCCAATCGTCAAAAATGCCATTTCAAGCCATCCCGACAGTGTCTGCGTCCTAGAGCGCAGTCCAATTATAACAGAAAGTCGAGTTTGAATGAAGCTAACAAAAGCTGCGAAAAAGTCGTGCCACAAAAAAAAGTGTATTTGGATAAAAACACTTCGAATTTTCTTCCAAAAATTAGCTCTATGTTGCCTTTTAGCGGTTGTCAGCAATCCAAAAGCATCAATGCCAGTTTTGGAGGATGCCAAAGTACAAATGCCTGGCCGGGACAAAAACCAAGAAGATGCTCATCTGCACCTATAAAAAGTCCCATACAGCCGCGGCTCTTCTCACCAGGGACCGATTCACCATGCTCCCAGTCTAATGTGAGTAAGGACTGTGGCTATTGTAATCGGAAAACGACTTCTCCAGAAAATCTTCAACTTGTTTGTATGGATGATCCCCATGCCCTTCGAAGAAATTGCAATGGGTCGAATACCAGCAGTTACACAAGCTGGCCTTGTCGGGATAATGCCGCAACAACGCGGGGCGACTTGTGTGTCCCCAAGCTGGGGCACGACATGGAAAAAAAATCCAAATGCCAGCAGAGTGTTGTGGAGGAACTGAAACGGGAACTATTGCTCAGTTTCAGGCAGGATGAGACACTCGAAGACCAAAGACACTGCTTCCGACCCACACCCTTCATGCTTCTTCCCTACGTTCCCGATTCCATGCACCAGCCCAATGGACATCTGACTTCAACTTCCCTTTGTGGCCCTGAACCTGTGGTCTGCTGGGCCCCATGCTCCAACCCACAGGCTCATTTTTGAGAGTATGCACCCAAATTAAGTGACACCTTACCTCGTTTAATAACTAAACTTCTTAGATTTCAAGTAGCCCGTGCCTTGGATACGAGTCTCCAGCACATTAACAGGTTCTGATGCGAAAAATAACCAACAAAAATACCCCAAACAGAAGCCGCCATACCTTGGTAAAAAAAAAATTTTAAGTATACTTCGTCTAGTTCATTGTTTTTACTTTTCACTTGGAGTATTTGAATGATATATGTATGTATGTAAGTTTCCACACAAGGTGGGCAAACTCTAATGTTCCATAGCATGCCGGCCCACTGACAGTGTAGCACGCTCAAATTTTTTAGAAGCTCTCATTTGGTCTCATTTTGCCTCTAGTGACAAACCAATCTTTAGAAAATAAATTTTTCACATAGAAAAAGGGGAAATTATCAGAAATGGGAACATCTCAGAAATATGGATATAGATGGAAACATGGAAGTATATATAGATAGGGAAGCGTGATTATACCTGGTACTCGTAGAGTACAAAGGGTATATTGTAGTCGTGTCAACATAGAGAGTCGTATGTAACATAGAGAAGAAATCGGCTCCAATCCGATGAGGTATATACTTATTCTTTATCAGCATCAACAGCCAAGTCGATATAGCCATGTTCGTCTGTCCGAGACTCCAAAATGGCCAAGCAGTTCAAGTTTTTTTTTTCAATTTTTTGCCACGCCCCCTCCCTCTCCTACACATTCCAAATTTCTGTATCGAAAATACTGGAATTTTTTTTTGAAAAAAGTTTTATGCCAAACCCTTTATATATTGTTTCATCCCAATCGGCGGATTTTTAGAGGAGATATGCCCATATATACCGTTTTAATAGACTATAATAGATAGAGCTACATATAGGACCCACGCAAATTTTTTTTCCATTGTTTTCCAATTGTCAATAACGCCAGTACACGAAGGTGTTTTGGAAAACTTTTGATTTTTAAATATTTCTATAGCTATATTCTATCTGGGAAACAAAATCCAGCCAAGTCGGACGATTTTTAAAGAAATTATAGATATTTATATATTGATTCCCATGCTAAAGAGTTACAACTGGGAACGCGTGGATCTCGAAGACTATAAGAAATAGAACTAGCCGATTTGGAACTTGGACTCCTTTGGTATACCACCCCCAAAACTCAAATATTGTTGTATCGCCATTTCAAAAAGTTTTTGAAAAATTTTTTAATGCCAAACTATTTCAATACCTAATCCTTACCTCCAAATAATTTTAATTTTTTTTTGCTAAAAATTCATACTTTTGATTTTTAAAGGTTAGAGATAAGTCTGGTTAGAATAAATAAGTACAGGATATAATATAATCGGTAAAGTAGTCCTTTCTAGTTTTGTATCTTACTTTGGTACTATAATACACTTTAACTATGCACTATGAATAATAACTATACTTCAGTATTCTTTCAATATCACCCAAAAAAGAAACCAAAATTCTGATTATACATATGTACATAGTACATAATTGGCTTTTACAGAAATGAGATGATGTATCCTTTCCTTGGAATTTTTTTTACATTCAAAACGGGCTATAGAAAAGCTTGAGACAAATATGTGACATTCATTGACTTTGAATATTTTGGATGCGGACGACCTTAGAATACTTAGATACTTTGTAAACTTTCGCGATCAGACCACTTGGAATAAAATTTTCTCAATAAAAAGAAAGATTTAAAAGCCACGCATATTGCTTTTTATTTAACCTTATGAAGCTTCAATAACCGTAAAGGCTGAAGTTATCAGCAAGAAAGGGGCCCGACATCATTGTTGGCCATCATCATTAGCTACTCTGCCTCGCCATTTCTGTTCCCGTTTCTTGTCTTTGGCTACTGCTGTTTTGACAATTTGTTTTGGCTGTCCTTAAATATCATCATTGTTGATGAGCTTCCTTACATATGCACAATTCTACATACCCAGGGCTATAAGGGGTATAAGAAAAGGTTTTCTAAAGACTTTACAATTTAAATTTATCATTACCATCTTCTGGTTTATCATCATCTGGATGTTTTTGATGTCAATGCCTGATGGATATGATAGAGAAAACCTATCAAAGGTTTTACAGAATTTTAGGGCTTATCTAGATTTATCACAGTACTAGTATCACAGTACAGTACTCCTTAATATATATAAAGTTTTAGTTTTTTAAGTATAAAGTCCATGCTTCAACCATAAAAATTAGTTATTTTATGACTACAGTCAATAATAAATAAAAAAAAATTTTTCACATTGCTTTTTTAGACGTTTAGAAAAATCGTACCTACTCTTCCAAATATAAAAAAAAAAATGTATTCAAGATCCTACACATAAAAGCATTACTCTCCCATTTAACAAATACTGTCAAGCTCAGAAGCTTACAACGAGCAAAGTGCAGTTCGCACTTTAATTAATTGGGTATTCATTGATACGATTTCCCCAGGTTTGTCTTTGTAACTTCTCCGTGTCCCGGGTTGCCGATTTGTAATGTGGCAGTGCGGCGCAGAGTCTCCCCGGCACCGAATTACAAATTGGGGTGCAGATCGGTGGCACCTAGGAGGCGGAAAACTCTATGCTTCAACGGCGCAATAAATTAGCAAAAACATGCCATTAAATTGGCATGCCCACCTACCCCCAAAGGGTTTGCGATTTCGAGAACTGACGCATTCTAAAGTTCTGTTTCGCAGCAAGTGGTCTGCACTCGCATTCTCGTTCGCAGTCGGAATTAGTCCTTGGATTTGTGCACAATGTGTTTAGTAGCAGATTCATCCGATTCAGGTTGCAGCAGTCACGCATGGTACTGTCAACGGACTTAGTAGAGACTACTGACTCAAAAACAATCTAAAATTTTTGATGTACTAGGATAAGAAAAAATTAAATTTCATATATCATTTTTCAAGAGCGAAATAGTATAAAAATTCGAAAAAAACATAGTAAATGGTTAAAACTTTTTTCTACCTTGCTGACAAAATATAAAAGAAAACAAAAAGTGTGCTTTGCTAAATTTCTCTATTTAATCTCTATTTAATTTAATCTTGTACCCACACTTTAACCAAAGATTAAAAAGTACACTTTATAAGTAACTAACAAAGTATATATTATCAAAAAACAAGAAAGGAAAGCTTACTTCGGGCGGAGCCGCAGTTAAAACCGAACATATATATCAAAAATCGGATATAGTTGGCTGCTCCTTATGAGAATATTAAATATAACCAATTCATTACGATACAAAATTAAAAAAAAATGTCCCAAACTTCTGTTGGTAAAACCATTTCCGATCGTTCAGTCATATTGCAGCTATAAGATATAGTCGGCCGATCCTAATTTGGTAGGTGGGATTAACTAAGCCAAAATAGAATCTGTGCGAAGTTTCAACTTTCTGTCTTAAAAAACACGATAGTTGGGTCATTTCCGATTTTTTAGTTATATGGCAGCTATAGGATATAGACGGCCGATCCTTATGAGATTATTTTCAAATCAAAAATAGCATTCGTACAAAATCCGAACTCTCTTACTCTAAAAACATCGAAGTTATAGCATTTCCAATCAATCAGTTTTATGGCAGCAATGGGATATAGTGTGCCGATATCGTCCGTTCCGACCTATATACTGTGTGCAAAGAAGCAAAGTGTGCAAAGTTGCAGGATGATAGCTTTAAAACTGAGAGACTAGTTCGCGTAGAAACAGACATTCGGACAGACGGACATGCTTATATTAACTCAGGAGGTGATCCTGATCAAGAATATATATATAAAATATGTTATAGGGTCGGAGATGTCTCCCTTACTACGTTGCACACTTTTGAAAAAATTATAATACCCTCTGCAAGGGAATAAAAATTCTGCGTTATGTTTTAGACATAATAACTGAGCCATTGAAGATCAGCTCATTAAATGTCTATAACTCCTCTAAAACTCTCCCGATTCGTCATATTTTTCTAATGCTTTGTAGATATAAATATATATAGCCATGTCGATATAGCCATGTGCGTCTGTCCTTGTAATCCATATACGTATGTATATATGTATTTCCCATACATTTACCAGAATCCCAGAAATATACGCGCAGATCAAGTTTGTGTCAAAATTTTGCCACGCCTACACCCGCTCCCAAAACGAAAATCTCGTTGTGGTGCCAGTTCATTAATGTTTTTGCAAATGTTTAAATGCCAAACTATCCCCATAGCTAATCTAAACCTACAAATTCCTACGATTCAGCCAAATCGAACAATTTTTAGAGAAGTAATATACGTTTTAGTCTGCTATTTATGATGTGGGGGTGGTATAGGGGCTATGGTTGTTTTTTTTCCCAAGCGTAAAAAATATGCAACAATTTAGCGATTTCAAACACTACTGTATTATTATAAAATACCTACATTTTCATGCCGTTGCATGTCGTATTAATAGCAGTGGGCCGACGGGTAAGGGAAATAACCGCCAAACCAAGAAGTGAGCGCGCCGAATTTAAACTGAGCGTCTCAACTCTGCTCGCTGCTTCTGGCTCCACGACAGAGGTTATGCAGAGGAATTATGGGCATGCAAAAATGTCGTTCACATAACAATGCCGGTATGAGAGCATATTCGTATGCACTACTCTGAATGTGTTTAAACTTACCTGTGAGGGTTTGGGTGAATTTGGAGAACCTGACCAGAATCTGGACGAAAGGCGTCCACTGTCCACATCAGAATCTAAGGCTCCGTAAATTGTGGAATGGTTGATTTTAAAAAGATCCGATCGGGACTTTGATCGGATACAGCCTCTCTCCCTCTTTATGGTATATACATATAAATATTCGCTGTACCTCAGGCAGCTTGTCACCTTTCGAGACGAGATATGCTTGAGAAAGATTCTGCTTGCTTGAGAGATTCACCGTTAACGCCAATGCACTCCTTCAGATTACCGTTAAACCCCTCGCGTATTGTTGCCATTTACAACGGCTACCGCCCGCTAGGTGGCGCTAGTACGCCTAGGATTTGTGGTTCTAGGCTCCGCTACACTTCATAAACTTTATACCCTTGGTTAAAAGTGTGCAACGCAGTGAAGGAGACATCTCCGACCGTATAAAGTATATATATTCTTGATCAGGATCACCTCCTGAGTTCATATGAGCATGTCCGTCTGTCCGTCTGTCTGTCTGTTTCTACGCGAACTAGTCTTTCAGTTTTAAAGCTATCGACTTGAAACTTTG